GCACCATTCTAATCTTTTTTTTTTTTTTTAATGTTTTCCTTCTATTAGCTGGGGTGTAGTTAATTCTTTTTGAATTTCTGAGATCTCCATTTTGTTCCACTGATCTATTTGTATATTGTGGTATTTCCCAATACTACACTGTCTTGATTACTGTAGCTTTATAATGAATCTTGAGGTTAATTAGAGTTAGTCCTCTGACTCATTTCTTCTTTTTCAACACTGTGTTGGCTCTGCTGAGTCATTTCACTCTTCATACAAACTTTAGAATTTGTTTGTTGATATCACAAAATAACTTGCTAAGATTTTGATCGGGTTGCCTTAGATTTTTAGATCAAGTTATTAATATCTGACATTTTGACTATATTGACTTGTTCTACTCATGAAAATTGAGCATCTCTTCATTTATTTTGTTCTTATATCTTTCATCAGAGTTTTGTAGTTTTCCTCATAGATCTTATACATTTTTTGTTAGATTTATTCATAGGTATTTCATTTTTAGAGTGTTATATAAATAATATGTTTTTAATTTTAAATTTTGGTACCAGCAGATGGTGTAATGGTTACGTTGAAGGACTCCCACATAGACGACTGCAGTTCAAGTCCCGGACCCAGTAACTTAAAACTCACACTGGGCATGTGTGTGCATGTGCACACCCAAAATTCCAAGAGGAGAATGGAGGAGAAGGGATTGTGGCATGGTCATACCCCCTGGGGAATGGCTTCTTGCTTTCTGTCTCCCTGACCCTCTCTGTTTATCCGGTGAGTGCACACACCCTATAGCAAAAATCTCTCAAAAATTTTTTAAAAAGAAAGAAAAAGAAAAATAAATTAAATTTCACTTGTTCATTTGGGATTTGGTACATAGGAAAAAATACTGACTTTTGTGAGTTAACCTGATATCCTATCAACCATATCTTAGTTCTAGGAGTTTTTCGGTTGATATTTTCAGATTGTCTACATAGATAGATTATCTACATATCTGTCTGGGAGCAAGGATAGTTTTCTTTCTGTGTTCACATGCCCTCCATACAAAGTTGAAAAGGGGTGGTGAGAGGGGAGGTCCTGCTTTGTTGTTGGTCTGATCTTGTTGTGAAAGTTTAAAGGTTCTCACATTTAAATGTGATGTTTGTTGTAGGTTTTTAGTAGATGCTCTTTTCCAAGTTCAGAAAAATTCTTTCTATTCCTGGTTTGCTGAGCATTTTATCATAAACAGGTGCTGGACTTTGTCAAGTGCCTTTTCTGTATCTAATAATATAATCGAATTTTTTTTAGCTTGTTGATAGAATGGATTACATTAATTGATTTTCAAATAATAAACAAACCTTGCATATGTGGGATAAATCCCACTTCTTTTGGGTGTATAATTATTTGTATACATTGATGGATTGATTTATTAATATTTTGTGAAGGAATTTTATCATTTTATGTTCATCATATCTGTCTGTAGATTTTTGTTTGTATGTTCATTTTCCCTTTCCTCTTGTCATTGTCTACTTTGGGCATTAAAATAATGTTGGCCTTATAGAATGAGTTAGGAAATATTCCTTCTCCTGCTATCCTCCAGAAGAAATACTAGAGACTTGGTATAATTTTTTTCCTTGACTTTACCAGTGAACCCATCCTGACTTGGTGCTTTGTGTTTTGGAGGGTTATCAATTATGGATTAAATTTCTTTAATAGATATTAATTTGTTCATATTATCTATTTCTTTGCTTTTTTAAAACAATTGGCTTGCTGGGGAGAGAGAGGAGTGAGGGAGAGAGAGAGAAGGATACAAAGCACCCTCCGTGGGGAAATGGTCACAGTGCAATACCGTCTTCTTCATTTTTCCCTCCTTTCAGGATTTTGAGCATGTGTATACAGGTACCTGGTGCGTTTTTCAAGCCACCAAGTTCAGGACTTGAACCATGTGGTCAGCCATGTGGGATCAATTCACCTGAACCACCAAGCCAGAGGCTGGCCCCATAAATTCTACTCTGTAAGTTATTTTCAATGTCCCTGGATTATTAAGGCAAGTCTTTCATATAGACATAGTAAATGTATAGCTAAATTTTTGCAAAATGTCACACAGAATTCATTATGGCTTTTATATTTTATTTATATATTTAATTTTTTATTGCCATAGGGCACATGTAATTGCCAAAGAGAGACGGAGAAATCATCCTCCAAGAGGACACAGTCACACTACAATCCTTTTACCTCCATCTCTCCATCTCATTAGAATTTTGGGCGTGCATGTACATGTGCCCGGTGTGTTTTTCAGGCTGCTGAGGCTGGCATTTCAACCACAGTCAGCCATATGGGACCTGGTTCTCAAGCACAGCACTTAGCCACTGCACTATGGAACCAGCCCTGACACTGATATTTTAAATTTTATCCACAAGTACATAGCCTATAGATTAGTAAACTCAATAGTTGTTCTTGGAAGTCTATGATACATCAACAATGTGACCAGGGACAGTTTGTATGAATAATTTAGCTAATCCACAATGCCAATTATGTATTGTCATTATAAAATAAAATATTTTAAAATATTGATTTCAAAAGATTTTACTATATGATCTGTGATGGCATGTTAGGCTTCTGGATGTATGTTAGATTAATAAAATAGTAATACCTATTTTTACAAACAATGCATATTGTGAATACTGACAGGAGTACCATCAGAACTAACCTGGACAATTGCTTTCATTGCATGAAAATCAGTTTTTGAAAATTTAACTTTAAATCACAATGCTAAAATGCTGCATGGGTCTAAGTCACCTGCTATCCATGAATACAATACTGCTCTTAAAGCACTATTTGTAAGTGTAAGAGTTTGGTCTATAAGTATTATAGGGATAATTCCCATTATAGTCAGATTATTTGTTAAATCAAAATGACTAGTTCATGATATGGTTCAGTGGTGTGCAAAATTTATTTTAGAGAAATAAAGAATTTCTTTGGACCAATGCATAAAACAGATGCTAGTTTCTTCCTTTGACCATTGCTCATGTGATCATTAAAATCCTTCCAACTTTCAAAATATTCTCATTTTTAGCTTTTGCAAATGAGGAGTTATTTGTTTTGCAAATAAATATTACCCACTTTTTGAATTGAATCTTATTTAGCATAAGTTATTTTATGTAATTAGGGAGGAATTTCCTTGATAAATTGCAGCAAACTAAAAATA